GGGTTGGGACTGGATGAGCTTTAAGGTCCCTTCCAACCCAGACCAGTCTGGGATTCTGTGATGATGATTCTAAACGAGCCCTCCTCCCATGTAAATATTGTGCTGTTCCTGAGCACCAGCCTGAAGCGAAGCTGGTTTCCTGCAGCTCTCCCTGGGTGGATGGAGTCCTGAAGCCAAAGATAATTTCTTACCTCTTTTGTTTTGTTTTGTTTTGTTTTTAAATGGCCTTACATGCTGGATGTCCATACGGCTGAGCTTTGCAGCAAGATCTGAAAGTTCTTTGAGTATCTAATGCTTGGGCACCTCAAACAGCTTTTCTTAGCAGAACTTAACAAAAGGAATGAACCCCGGACACTCGAGTGGCGGAAGGCACCATGTGCCACCCGCCAATTTTAAGTCACACTGAAGTTAATGAAAAGACTTCCACAGACTTCAGTGGGCGACACATCAAACCCCGCACACGGCAAAGCCTCAGCCACGTGCTTCCTGGCCTTGATTTTCAAACATCTCCATTGTGCTGTCCCTGTTGAACAATTAGAAATGATTTCTCACTGGCTGGAGGAATTGAGTAAAAATTGGATCTGCAAACAAAGGCATGATGTAAATCATGGTGCAGATGTACTGAAGGGGAAGTCAAAGCTGTGTTCATCATCTGGGCAGTCAGAGCCAGGTGGAAAATATTATTTTGGAGATGTCTCAACCGAGAAGTTCCAGGAGTAAGAAAACCTTCCCAGCTAATTAAGCTCAAATGGATGTACATGGTCTGCTCAGAGCGAGGACTAAGTAGAAGTGCTGTTTTCTTATGAGGATCAGTAGTGAAGTTTGAAACTATTTGGAGTTAAACTACTTGATAGGACAAGAGGAAATGGCCTCAAGTTGTGCCCAGGGCAGTTGAGATTGGATGTGAGGAAGAATTTCTTTGCTGAAAGGGTTCTGAGGCATTGGAAGGGGTTGCCCAGGGCAGTGGTGGAGTCCCCATCCCTGGAGGGATTGAAGAGTCGTGTAGACACAGTGCTGAGGGACATGGGTTAGTCGGGGACTGGTCAGTGCTGGGTTCGTGGTTGGACTCGATGAGCTTAAAGGGCTTTTCCAATTCAGGCCATTCTGGGATTCGGCTTTTAGAGGCAGACAGGTTGTTTGGTTTGGTGTCAGTGGGGGGAATTGTTTTTTCCTGTAGAGCTGTTTGCAGGGAAGGAGGCAGCTCCTGTTCTGGGTCCTCACAGTTTGTTACCAGTCACATGTAGGTTTAGATCCACGGGCTGGTCAGGCAGCTCTATGGAATCGTACAGCTGTGGGGTTGAGCTCTGGTTGTAATCAGGGTTTTCAGAGTTTAATTTTTCTTCGTCCAGACAAGAAGCCTGTGCAAGAAGGCAGAATTCAGCACCCAGTCCCACCCAGGCTGCGTCTGGGGAAAGGTCATGGGAAGAACAAACACCCAGCACCCGTCTCTGTGTTGCCCTGGGGTCAGACCCTCACAAGAGGCTGTTCTTCAGGGGAAAACTGCTTTTGAAATAGAAGGTTTGAGGCTCGTTACAGATTGGCACGAAAGCGCTTCACCTCCCTCCTGCAGACGGGCTCAGAATCATGATCAAGAGGGTTGTTTTTTGTTTCAAACTGGCATTTCAAGAAACGTAAAGATTTCCAAGCACACAGGTACCTTGGTGTGATGCTCCAGGTAGAAGCAGGACCTGGACTCCACAAGCAGGTTGCTCTGTACTTTGATGACCTCATCTTCCACCACATGCTTCTCAGGTGCTGCTTCATCGTGGTTGTATGGTGAGGTGTGAGTCCTGCCTGAGGCTGACGGGTTTTTCTGTCACACTTCTGATAGTGCTCGTTTGCTTTTCCAACGTCCCTGCAATGGTCTTTCAAAAGAGACGTGAAAAATGTCCAAAATGCTCTGTGGAGAAAGTGAATGAACAACCGCAGAGTGGTGGGACTTTTGGTTTTTCAGCAATGTGGACAGGTTCCTGCATGTACTGAAGGGCTGCACAGTCAGTGCAATTTATCTCTTTTTTATTTGGCCATTTCTGCCTATCTGGTGATTCTGCTAAGGGCTCCTTTTTATTAAAATTCAGGGAAAACCAAGGGGTTTTGGTTGTTTTTTTTCTCTGCGTACATGCATGTCTCTTTTACGTTGGCTTTAAAAAGCATGGTGGTTGTGATCACATTTAATGGCTCTTCTCAAAGAGATCTGGCGGGTTAGAAAGCAGATCCAATATGCTTATGTTATTAACAGCCACAGAAGCAAGCACAGGAGAAATGACAGCGGAAAGGGAATTACATTCCTAGTTACCAAAGAGCAGGAGTGAAAGCTGGGATTTATAGAAATCCATTGAAAAACTCACAGCCTCTTTATGGAAGAGGATTTAAGCTCGGCTTCTGCTCCTAACCCTCCCAAGGCAAAACTCTCCAAACAACCTTTCACATGAACATGATAAACTCTGTGCTTCACCACGTTACAGAAATGGCTTTTTCAGTCACTGCTGCATTTGCAAAGCCCCGAGGAGAGGCTGGGATGCGGCCAGGCTGCCGTGTGCTGCATAAGCTCATAGTAACGCCTGCTGTGAGTTAGTCCCGCTACTCGGGGTTTGTGCTGCGGCTTGTGTAACGTCTGTTTGATAGAGCAAAACCAGGCAGTCATGGGTTCCACTGCTCCCTTCTGTCTGAGAAACAACAGCAACCAAGGTGGTTTTTCTCATTCCTTTTAATTTTTGAATGAGGCCCACTGTGTTTTTCACAAATTGCATCTTCATTAGAAGTATTTAAGAGCCGTAGTTTTTCATATCAGTCAACTCGGCATCAGCTTGGGAAAGAAACGTGTTATTGTGAAGCAGAGAACTAGATTAGAAGGTTGCTTTTGCGGATAGAAATGATGTGGTGTTGGCTGGTCTGATCCAGTTCTTTGGCAGTGATGCAGGACAGTTTTGCACACGGCGGAACGCGCGGCCGTCTCTGCCAGCCTGGGCTGCTGTGATTTCACAGCACAGCTCACGGAACCAGCGCCAGGCAGAGCTGAGCTCACAGAGCCAGCGCCGGGCAGAGCTGAGCTCACAGAGCCAGTGCCGGGCAGGGCAGAGCTCACGGAGCCAGCACCGGGCAGAGCTGAGCTCACAGAGCCAGCACCGGGCCCCGCGTGTTCAGCTGGCACGTAGCTCCACTGTAACAGGGAACAGCATCCTACCAGAGCTCAGTTTGGAAAGGTCAGCCTGTATTTCACAGTGTCCCTTTTAAAAAATAGCCTTAAAGAGAAGTGAATGGGTTTTTTTGTTTGTTTTTTGGGGGTTTTTTTAAGTGCCTTTAGCTAGCTAATACAACGAGCATGCAGAACATCAGCTATCCAACCATGAAACAAACGCTAGAATTAATTGCTTAATTCTCATTGCATTAGGATAAAGCAGATGGTAAAAAAATGTCTTTAGTGAAGAACTGCTGAATATGGGAAACATCTACTATTGCCTTGGGCTAAATTGAAAAGCAAGTTCAAGTGTAAAGATTGGTGGGGTGAGAGCCCAAGGCAAGCTGTCCTGCAGCTTATTTTGTGAGACAATCTACTTTTAAGGTTTGTGTGCACAAGTTTGACTCAATAAGCAGCACATTAAATAATTCCCATCTCTGGAAACCCAGGCTTTTTTTCAAACCAGCTTCTTTGTAGTTCTTCAACTACGGAAAAGAAACCAGAGAGATAACATCTTACCCAGCAGCTGATGTGTGAGTGCCAAGGCTCAACTGTCCCGAGGAGTAAGGGATTATTGTCTGTTCCAGCCCATTTTCTGCAGGCTGCTCTCGATGATTTCTCCTACATTTGCACGTGGGCTAATGCTGCATTTAAACAGAATCCCGAGCACGTGCAGATGAAGGAATTGGCCTCCTTCATTTTCAGGTACAGTGGATTTCAGGAACGACACCTTTTCTGGATGTCAGAGAACAGTGTGAAGTGTGGCCAAGCATTCAAGCCAATAGTGTGACAGGAAGGGGAGAGCTACACAGAGAGAAGGGGTCAGTGCCTGTCTCTCTGTGTAGCTCACCTTGGCCAGCCCCACTCACCCTGCACGCTGAGCTGAGCACTCAGCTTGTTCCACTGGCCCTGCCCGGAGTGCTCTCTGTTTGGCCAGGCAGTACCACCCCACACGCAGCACAACGCGAAGCCGATGCGGTGACTCACTAGCGGAAAGCTTGCGAGCCTACCAGCTAGAGAGCGGTGCAGGTGCTTGGCAGCATCAAGACTTTGATCGTGTTCACGCCAGCGTGCGCAAATTCTCACATCCAGCGCTTTCTGTGAGAACACTCATCTGTTTTACCTACGTGAAGGGCACTGCACCATCTGATTCACTGGTTTTTAGACTACAGCAGCCGCAGAGCTTTAGAGGAACTGGGGTACAGAGCACAAGTTGGCTTTAACCGCAGTGCAAAGCACGCTCCGCTCGCTCCAGCAGCTTTCTGGAGTCACGCCTCGTTCTTGCCCAACAAATTTACCCACTTGCCTGTTGCTGGAACCCTGAGCTTCAGGCCCAGGTCAGTTCTCACCCTGCTGCCTGCCTAGTGCAAAGCTCTGAATTGACACTTAAAAGTACTCCTGACCTCGCAGTAACCAGCACAAGCAAACGGCAAGATCCAAGCACACACTCAGCTCTGTCCAGAAGCTGTAGGAAGGCTACAGGAAAAGACGCTTTATTTCAACATTTTTATGAAATACAATAATTTTTCTACATGAACAAACATTTATTTTTGCTGGCAGAAGCATCTAAAAGTTCACAAAACAACTCCAAATATGGATTTAAAAAGAAGTATCAAAGCTTTTAATTTAAGCTTCAAATCTTGGTTAAGTGGACTACATCTTTGCTTTGTTTCCTTGAGAGGTTAGTGGCTCAGGGCAGTATTTTCTCCAGAAGATAAACATCTCCCAGTGGTTGCACTACAGGTGGCTTTCATCCTTTCTTGCCTGAAGTCCACTTTCAAGTTTAGAATGAGGGAGATGTTCCACATGGCTTGCAGCATGGTACTTTTTTCATTTCATTTCTCCAGGGGTGCGTAATTCAAAAGCTTCTCAATCAGATCCACATGGGCTAAGAGCATTCTGCGGCAGCAGTATCTCTTCAAACCAAGGGCATCCAGGGCATCTCTATTAATGAACAAGAACAACATCATCAAAAAGAAAAAAAAAGGATGCAATGAGTCAGAGCCACTTGTAAGTGTTCCCAAGCAACACACTGATTACTGTGGGTTTAGTCAGAAAGGAAAACTTGTTTGCAGTTCAAACTAAGAACGGAAATTCAGCACGTGCTGTTCGTGCTCCCGCCTGTTCAGCGCCATTGATGGGGCATCTGCCTGTTGTCTGTCCTGCAGGACCACACGATCTTCTGCTGAAGGTGGTGTCCAGCTGACACCACCACTGAGCTCTCAGAGCCACGTCTGCAGAACTCCCGAGGGACAGAACCGTAACAGAATAACTCAGGAATTTTCTCTTCTCTACTACCCCACTCCTGAGGGCATATTTGGTCATGAAGCAGCAAGGTTAAGTGAGATGCAAGTATTTTGGTTTTGGAAATAAAAGTTTAGTCTTCACAGCTGGAAAGAGATTTGAAATAGGGCACATTTACAGTGATTCAGTCTTCCTTGTACAAACACCAGCCTGTAGAACAGAGAGGAGCTGATGAAGCTGGGGAAGGGTCTGGAGCACAAGTGTGCTGAGTTCCCGGCTGAGGGAACTGGGGCTGCTGAGCCTGGAGAAAAGGAGGCTGAGGGGAGACCTTGTGGCTCTGTCCAAGTCCCTTGGAGGAGGGTGGAGAGAGGTGGGGGTGGGTCTGTTCAACCAAGGACCAAGGGACAGGACAAGAGGAGATGGGCTCCAGTTGTGGCCAGGGCAGTTGAGATGGGATGTGAGGAAGAATTTCTTTGCTGAAAGGGTTCTGAGGCATTGGAAGGGGTTGCCCAGGGCAGTGGTGGAGTCCCCATCCCTGGAGGGATTGAAGAGTCGTGTAGACACAGTGCTGAGGGACATGGGTTAGTCGGGGACTGGTCAGTGTTGGGTTCATGGTTGGACTCGATGACCTTAAAGGTCTTTTCCAATTTAAGTGATTCTGTGATCTGGTTAAAAATCTGATCCATCAAAGAGGCAGCGAATGTAGTAACAGGAACATAGTTCTGAAACAGGAGAAGTAACTTTCACTCCTCTTAAAATCCTGGACAGTCCATGATTCCCTGTGCTGGCTACAGCTCCTGGCAGTTTCATGGCAGGAGGTAGCACAGAGGCACTAGATGGTCTCCTGACAGGAACAAGGAACAGCATCTCGAGTGTTGTTATCTGTGCTGTCATCAGCATCTCTAAACAGCGTTATAGCACAACCTTTCTGTATAACTGAGGGTGACACCTGCCTACTTCACAAGGTGAATTTGTGATCTACACCTTGTTAAAAGGCTGGGAGATATATAGAAACTAAAATAACTCAGAATGCAAACCACTCCACATATGGATGGGATGCTAATTCTGAGGAAGGCTAAAATCCTTTCCAGTCCCCATGTAAGAGGACATTCAGTTGTACAACCTGTTCTCCACACATACACAAATAAGGATGTGCACACTGCTCAACAAAAACCCCGTTTTATAGTCCTTCCACTTAATTCCTTCTGAGTGACTGCTCGAGATTCTTCCAGTTGGGCAGAGAACGTGTGAGTCAGCCTAGCCAGAACCACCGCATGTGTCTGCCGTGGGTATCGCCATCAGACCTCTTCGAGATAAGTGACGCTGTCCAAGCTCTTTAGCACCAACCTGTGAACCATAAAGCCAGTCTGATCCGCCTTCAGGATGTGACATTCATCAAATACAACTCAACTCGGGTCTTGAGATCTATATGATGCAGTGTAACAATCTAGCATTTGCTTAAAACAAATAAACCTGTAATTCTCCCGTGGGAAGAAGCGATAGATGCTTTTTCTAAAGCACAACTGACTGAAGGGATAAGCTGGATTACGGTAGAAGGTTGGTTGGCTTCAGGCAGTGCAGTCTAACTGCATGGACTCAAACTCCAGCAGCTTTTCTGAGAACATAAATTAGCCCTTACACCTATCAACAGATCTTCAAGGGCTTAAATAGCAAGGCTACTCATTTTAGGCCTAGCACTTGCAGAAGTTATTTAAGAGAACTATATCAACATTGTCTTTTTTTTTAAAAAAAAGTTGATAAATAATATCACATGATATCTAAACTTTCCAAAACACTCAAGAACAAAAGCACCTGATGTCTTTTGATAAGTTTTAAGAGCTATCTGGAAAGTTGTCAACTTTAAAATGGAGTTATCAGAGATGCAAAATAGTAACACAACTTTAGAAATCATACTGTCCATTTCAGCTAAAACACCTTCAGCTGTATTTCCCCCTTCCAAGAACTTGCAGAAAAAGAGACGTTTTAAGGGACAAACAAAAAGGTGTGGGGTTTTTGGTTAAAAAAAAATATAAATATTTGGTTAAAAACCAAATTGTTTAGAAAAGTTTATGTCTTCCATTTTGTGCATTTCTTAAGCCACCATTAATAGCAATTCTGACACTGCACTGGAAGATTTTAAGTGTTTGATATCTGTAAACTCTGCTTCTGATCTTACAACACTGTAACTGCATCAGTGTGGACAGACATCCCAGAATCACACCAGTCAGCTCAGCCATCCCTTTCAAGTGAGCATTTATCAGTAACGATGTACATCTTCCTGTCTTATACAAAAGCAGAGGAATACTGAAGACAGGAAAAATATTAAAATGTAATACTTGGAAAACCAGACAGAAATGCTACCAGAGCAGCTCTGATAAATTTCAGTATTTGTGAGAAATGATGAGCAATCCATAGTATTTTAATGCATTAATTCCATAAATGGAAGAAAATATATTTTGGGGAGGGACTTTCCAAAGACCTTTAGTTTAGCAGCTGCAACATTCCACTCAGCTACATTTGTCAGGTCTGGGATGTAAATGCACTCTAAAAAGGCCCCTCACAGAAGTAATGAGATTTAGGAAAAGAGGTGAATGATTTTCACTGGACAGTTTTTAATGAAACTGATAAATAGTGGGGGGACAGGACATCTTCCCCCAGCAAACTCCACACCAAGCAGTGCGAAACAGAGAGATTAATCACAACGTCCTACAAGTTTAGATGAGGCTCAAACCCCAAAGCTTTCCTTCCCTGCCTGTTCTGTGCCCCCCTGTTTAACATTTGATAAAATAGCATCCTAAACCACAACAACCTTTTCAGATTTACTGTAGAGAAAAGGCAGTGAAATCTGTGTGGCTAATATACATCCTGCTGGTAGTTCACAGATGTAAATCCATTAGCAGCTCTAACTATTTAAATGCAAAGCAAATACTCTTTTCTTTCTACCTAACAGTTTCAACATCAGCTTCTCAAACTTGCCCACCCCCACTTTGAACTGCAAACACCCGTGTGTTTTTTTTTTTCTTCGTACTTAAACTTTATGACAACATAAATATTTCTCAAGAGTTACCTTCTCAAGCCTTTCTGAAGTAGTCCTACTACAGCTAGACCCTCCTGAACTATTAAAAGACAATTCTGGCTATGCAAAGCGTGCACAGACTTAAAACAGAACTGTTAGGAGTATCAGTCAGGTATTTGAAGCAGTTTAAACTTCCCCTTCCCCCCAGCAAACCAGTGCTTTCAAATCAGGTTAGCAACTCTGGGTAGTGAATATTAAATGCTTTTAAAAAACCCTAAAATGGGTATACATTAACATTGTTAGTTACTTCTTACACTTGTAACTTGTTCCTTCTCACTCCTTTAAAAAAACCCACATAGGTGTTAAAGTTGATGGTACTGTTTGTTTCTTTTTTCCCCCGTTCTGTGCAAAGTTAAATATTTGAGACTGTTTTGGGTATAAAGGTTATCACTTGGCAACTTCCACACTGAAAGATTCTGTAGGTAACCAAGTACTTTCCAAACTACTACAATTTCTACCCCCTGGGTAAGTAGTCAGCCTCAGAACCTGTCTGTAGTTTTTAGCCTCTTTAGAGCCACTCTGCAATGCCATGGCTGTGCACGGGGCAATCTCCGCTGAAATCCGAGTCCGAGGATGCACAGACACAATACCCACCCCTCGGTGTACTCCGCCTGCAGAAGGCCGAGATAGGCTTCCCACTTGTTTCCGACTATTTTGCCGCAGGTGAAGCACCGGACGGGGATGATCATCTTTGCACAGCAGCTGTAACGTTAAAAACCACCGGGTCACACCTCTGCGAAGCGACTGCACAGCGAGTGCAAACACAAGGGAGGGAACCGGGAGCTGGTACCAG